GTACAGCTCTGATAAATAAAATATTGCATGGATTCTGCATGATGCAAATGCTGCTTATGGCAGTGAGCTGAAAGGCGACTGCACTGCATTGTTCAAAATGTCCCTAACAGACATTTAGCCACGTTGATCCTCTTCCTACGAACTAGCTGTTTGCTCAAAGGAGAAAAGTTAGAGTGCCTTATGGAAAGCAGCGGGTCCTTGTTAGAGCTGTGTGTTTTTCTAGAGCAGGGGCTGTCAAACTTGGGGTTTTGTCCCCCTCTTGCAAGTCAAGTCTACTGTGTCAAGAGTAGATCACATGCCGTCTGTGACCACAGCTGTTTACTGGTGTAAATAGAAAAATATATTTTATATATATAAAATGGGAAATGAGTAAGCAATAATTTAAGACCATTGGAGACATGACCTTTTTGGGTGCACACATGGTAGAGGAGAGCTGGATTCAGCTGGAGTTAACTGTGTGTGTGGTTTGCCCCCATGTCAGAGCCAGCTCCACAACGGACTCACTGCTGGCCAGAGCTGTGTGGTGCATCTGACAATACATTTAAGAAAAGGTAAAACCGCTGCACAGCAGCTGGGAGAGGGAGGAGTGAGGAGAAAAATGCGAGAGAAACAACCCTGCAGACACCGAGGTAAGTGAAGAAGAGGGTGCTGGAGCAGAGGTTCCCTGGCAGCCCAGGGAGGACCACAGGGGAGCAGATGGATGCGCCCGGAGGAGGCTGTGACTCCGTGGCGAGGAACCCGCGTAGGAGCAGGTTTGCTGGCAGGGACCTATGGGAGACCCACGCTGGAGCAGCTCCCGAAGGGCTGTATCCCCTGGGAGGGACCAGGGGCAGAGCGGGAGGAAGGAGCAGTGGGGACAAAGCGTTACGGCCTGACCAGAACCCTTCATTCCACGTCCCCTCTGTGCTGCTCGGCAGTGAGGGGATAGTTGAGCCTGGGAAGAAGGAGGTGAGCCTAAACCACGCCAGGAGAGCGGTCAGCCACAGCCGAGGATTTTGGCTGCAAAGGACTGTGGCTTTGTGAAGTGGTCCCCAAGCTGGGAGAGGGTGCTCCTGTCACGCAGGCCAGTTTTGGAGGGGGATACGGATATCGAACACTCTCGTGTTTTTCTTCAGCGTCTTTCCAGGGGATCAGTCTGACATCCTAACGTCGTTTCCTTTTATTTAGCTAGTCTGTAATTCTCAGAGTAAGACATGATGCTTATTTAATTTCTGAGAAAAATGAAAAATTTTTTTCCTTCTAATTCTTAGCATGTCTTGAACTCAAAAACATCGTGCTTTTAAATTGATTGATTTTGTCTCGAGTCTTTAAGTTGATGAATTAATTTCCAGATGTCCGTGAAGAAGGGATGGCTCAAGGCTACTGCTTTGCAGCCTCCTTAAACGGGACAGAGCGGAGCTGAACATGTCAGCGTGTCCAGTCAGGATGAGGCAAAGCTCATCGCAAACGTCACCTCACCGGCGCCTCTTCTGATGCTGCTGGGGTGGGACAGTCTGTGCAGGCACCCACCTGCCTCCCGCTCTGCAGTTTCTCCCTGTCCTAAATCCTGCTGCCTGTACAGATCCTGGTCTCTGGATTAAGCCGTGCACTAGTGCAGGTTCCCAAAGCCACAGCCAACTGGCGCGGTTGCAAGAACTGGAGGTCCAGCCCGGCGCTTGGCAGCAGCACTTGTAAGTTAAACAGGTTTTGCACAAGCCAAAGGAAATGAGAACCAATGCGGTTCAAATCTCTTTGGCAGGCAACACCGATACAAAGGTCAGTCATTTTTCAAGTATTTTTTTAAAAAAACCCATAATTCCATTAATACAACAAAGGGGATTTTTCGCAGTATTCAAAAACTGCTTTGAACGAACACATTGCAAAACTTGTACTTTTAAAAGTGTATTTTCTGTCATTATGAGACTTTTCAAGTGTGTCCTCAAACCTTTGCATGCCAGAGTTTGACAATTTTGATCTGAAATAGTAATGAAGTTTGCAACGTCTTTTCTCTGTGCTGCTGGAGCGCCCTGAGAATCCTCTTCTACAGAGAGAACCTCTCAGGGACCTGCTGGTTTCTCTTTCTCCCCATCGTGTTGCCACCTCCTGCAGCCGCACTGCTGGGACACACAGGAGCAACCAGCTTCCTCAGCCGCCGGGAGCCTGGCCTGAGCGGTGTCCGGCTGAAGGCAGGAGATGATGGGGCTTCGGTCAGGAGCGTTGTGAGAGGGGAGAGGTAAGATTCCCCATCTGGTCTTTCCCTTCTGCTGAGAAGAAGGTGAGCAGCACTGCCTGACTTGACATGGTTTAGCTTCAGCGCAGTCTCTTGTTCTGTGTGTTCGGTGAGATGAAATTCTTCACGGCAGAAAAAAATCTTGGTTTTACCTGTATCCACCAAATAGCATCTGGGTGTGCTGGACACAAACCGAATGCCTTGACATCCTACTAGAAATCCAGCCAGGTACAGCCAAAACAAACTGGTTAGCCAGAAGCATCACCAGCCTCTTCTGTATCGTTAAGCCTAAGATTCCAGATGAGATTACTGAAGAGCTGGCTCAGAAGGGACAGGCTTTCTCACCTGTGGGATGCTGCTCGGTGACAGCACCCTGAAGTTCAGAGCAGCCCAGGATCTGCAGCAGCCCCAGCCAAAGCAGTGGTTGGTGCCTGCAGGTGGTGGGTGTGGGTTGCGGTGTTGCCAACCCCTTACTGTACTACTCTGACCTTTGCAATGTAATTGTTTACTTGTTGAGCATTCAACCTTTGTGCAGTCCTTATGGGAACTGAAAAAAAATAATCAATGTGCATCTTACATTGTCACTGTAAAACTAATATTAAGAATAACCATTAAGCAGCAGTGCGTTGCAATATTAAGTCTGTGTGCATAATGGAATGTTCCACAGCATTTGGTAAAGGGATGTAATAATAACAGCTACTGTTAAGTCAGTGACAATTAGGTGAAAGGAAGGGTAGGTAGGTGTTTGACTTCCCATTTGGTACTGGAGTTCTGGATGTACTATGGGTTGAAATCTGTATGCAGCAGTTGGTCATTTTGATACATAAGTGTCAAAGATTGGAACACCAGAAATGTTTTTTGAATGTTGGGGTGGCAGCCCTGAGAGCTGAGGGGTGGCAGCGAGGGCTGGTGTTTAGCCTGGAGAAGAGGAGGCTGAGGGGAGACCTGATGGCTCTCTACAACTCCCTGAAAGGAGGGTGTAGCCAGGTGGGGGTCGGTCTCTTCTCCCAAGTAACAAGCGACAGGACAAGAGGAAACGGCCTCAAGTTGTGCCAGGGAAGGTTTAGATTGGAGATTAGGAAAAATGTCTTCACCCAAAGGGTTGTCAAGCCCTGGACCAGGCTGCCCAGGGAAGTGGTGGAGTCCCCGTCCCTGGAGGGATTTCAAAGACGTGTAGATGTGGTGCTTGGGGACATGGGTTAGTGGTGGGCTTGGCAGTGCCAGGGTTACAGTTCTACATGATGATCTGATGAAGGGTCTTTTCCAACCAAAACAATTCTATGATGCTTCCATTGAGGCATGTTCAGTGTCTAGCTGCAGTAAAGTCAGGGTTAACTAAATGCAAGATTTTTAGGGACACATTGTTCAAGTCCTAACGATGTAACTGGAAGGGAAAAAGGAGGAGATACCTGGCGTTGTAAACAGCCATTAACTTTTGGGGATCTGAAGTCCTCAGGGTGAAGCAAAACGAGTGATTCCTGCTCTTTGTTACCCAATGCTCCCCTTTTAGGGGCTTTCTTGAAAAGCTTTGTAGATTGGATGCTCATCTCCCAGACACTTTCTCTGGGTTTGAGCTCCCTGTGCTTTTAGATGTACTGAATTTTACCATATCACCATTCCCCCTCTCAGATACCTGCAGCTAGGATGTTTGGTTTCTAGCTAGACGATGCGTCTCCCTTTTCAGTCCTTTTATCATTCCTTTCCTGGTATTTTGTGATTTGTGTTGGAGGTGCCCAGCACCGAGTTCAGGAACGGCAGAAATCCCAGGGGCCTCATCCCTCGGGGTGGAACTTGCTCTGTCACGCAGGCTCTGATGCCTGTCCAGTTTATAAACACAGTTTTTGCAAGATGCCTTCCTTTGTTAGGAAGGTGTCTTCTGATTTCAGCTTTCCTCTTTCTACTTTCCAAAGTATGTTCTGAGAAAAAGAATGAGGTTTGATTCTCGGGTTTACTCTGCTTACTTGGCAATTTAGACAGAACCAGAGCAGAGCTGCTTTCCTGCGGGGTTTCTGTTCTAAGAACTCTTACTCCCCTCCCTGGAGAGGGCTATATGCTGGGTAGGGAGGACACTAAAATAGGAGATTAATTGATGCCAGTGTTTGGAAAGGCGGAAAGAAAATCACATGTGGTGTCTTCCTTGAAGCAAGGGACAGATTTCAGTGTTTCTGTGCTTGGATTGCTTTTGCAGCTCAGAGTTTGGTTAAACCTACTCTTGAATTTCTGTCGATGGGATTTCATACTGGACAACAGCAGCTACCCCAAGATAAAAGTCTCCTTGGGTCAGACGTGATAGCAAACCTGGTGTGGGCTGAACTCACCTTTCACTTGCAGCCTGGCTGTGCTGAGGGCACCTTATTTTGCAGAAGTATCTTTGAAACCCTCCCTCCGTGAGCCGAGGAACCCTGAGGCCAAAGGGCTAAAAGCAGCCACGCTGCAGCCTGGAGTTTGGTGGTGGCTCCTCAGGTTCAAGCAGTGATGGTCAGAACATGGGTGGTTAGTCCGCAAGCGGAGCCCCAACACCCTGGGGTGCCCCAGTGCTCTGGCGCGGTGAAGCCTGTGTTTGGGGCTCAGGGAACTGCCCTCTGCGAGTCTCGCTGAGCTGAAATGACCCTGCCGAGGCTGCAGAGTCGTACTGGAGTGTTTTGCTGCTTAAGCTAGTTCAAGCTAGCCTACCCCCTCGCCTGGTAGGTACTAGGTGTGTATCTGTGCAGGGGAAGAAGTATTTAGCGCAGTAACTCCGACCCCCCCCAGTGAGGCATCCAGACCTGGAGATCAAACAGTCCATTTATTTTTAATCCTGGAAGTCTGCTTGCTCTTCTTCAAGGCTTGTCGTGCTTCTCTCCCCAGGCGAGGGCCCGGCTCGTCTCACGTCTCCAGCAAGCAGTCTCTCAAGCGCAGTTTCCGTGGGCACGACGTCTTGGTCTGGCTGTTCTCTCCGGACCTGGTAAGCCAGGCCAACGTAGGTATCCAGCGTCTGATCATCGATATCGGGGTCGATGGTGCAGAAGGCGGTCTTCAGGTCATCTGCCTTCACCTCCCTGTTCAAAAACAACTCGGTCACTGCTATGCTGTGTATGTGACAAGAACGTTTATGTGTTTGTGCCGCGGTGAGAATCTGTGCTGCTGGAAATGCAGAGCAGAGCTGTATTTTGGTATTGTTACCTCTGCCTCCACTAGTGTCCCTTTGCTTTTTAAACATACCTGTAACAAAGACTGCTAAGTACTAAACTTCAGACTGAACAGAAGTTAGGAACTGTTAGACTTGTGATAACTGGGAAGACCTTAATTTCGCTCTCGTGTGCGCTGGGGTCTCCTTTGTTACAGAGCTACATTCTGTGCCCACCTCGGACAAGACTGAACTCAGTGGGCATCTCTCCACCTTTGGTGTTCTCACTGCTCGGTGCCTGGCACCAGGCTTTTTTCTACGCAGGAACCGCCCCTTGTTTATCTTGTTTTGAGATTTAATTATTTCTTTCAATCTGCAGTTGTCGGTCCTGTTCACTCTTCCCACTCCTCAGAACCAGCCTCTGAGGATGTACAGGCTTTTACTGCTGTTTTTGGAGACCCAAGGAGTGTTGAGATACAAGACTTCGGGTAGTGAAGGGGATTATCGGTACAACCAGTTTCTCTACTCACCGCCTGCCATATCCAGTCCTTTGGCTCAGGAACTGAAACTGAGCGGGGTTTTGTAAACCAGGGCTCAGCCAGGTTTTGGGATTTACCGCAATATTTGGTATTTACTGCAATATTCGCTGCTGGGGCCCTCTGTAGTGCATGCACTCCTGTGCCTGCAGCGGGGTTCCCTCTGCGCGCTGTCCCGGTCTGCTGTCCCCCCCAGCCCCTTCCCTCCATACTTACGTTAAATCTCCCAGCTTGCTCCTCAGCTCTCTCAGATACTCCCGCCTCTCCCTGACGTACTGGCTCCTGAGCTTTGCAACAAAAGGTTCAGCGTTCCCCTCCTCATCCTGAAAGAAATTGCAGGTGTGTTAGCACTGAACGTGCATTCCAGTCTGGATAGGAGTTGCCCCCTGATGCGTACTAAAATAACTCTGCTCTCCTAGAAATGGAATTTCCACGTGAAAAGTGGAAATAAAGAGAAAGAATATGGATAAACCCCTATCCCAGAAAAGGCACAAGCTTGCATTGCCGATGTCTGCAGATGGCCTTTGGCTGTTAGAGCTTGTGGCGGGCCCTGCAACTTTGTTAGTCTGATAAACCTCATTAGCCTGATAAGACTAATTAAAGCTCTAAAATAGGCTTGATCTGAATCAAAAGGAAAACTTAAATAATATCAGCTTACTTCTTTGAATAAGGATACGTAGTCAATGAGGTCTTCAGTGCTGTCCAGCCTGTATCTGCTTGCATCGACCAGTTCTTGGATTGACTCCTTCCTTTTCAAGGGAAAAGCCTCCCTCACAGCTGCGCTGTACGGAGACAGGCAACGCGGACAGAATGTGGATGCCGTTACAGTACGAGCACTTAACCACTGCCGGTGTGGCTGGCTTTTAGGCTACCAGAGTGTGCGTGTATTCCGTGGGCCAGATCTTCAAAATCCATTGCTTTCCCAGGAAACGCATTTTAAGGAGCACGCGCACCTTTGGATACCAAAACAAGGGCAAAGTTTTTGGCAGAGCTCAGGGGAAGGTTGGGTGCTGAGCCACGTGGGAACCTCTGAATGCAACCGTAAGGGTTTGCTGGCAGCCCAGACCGAATTGGTTGGTGCGTCTGTACCAGAGCCATGTTCCCAGCGAAGTGCTGGAGATGGCCGGTGCCGCGGCCCAAGGAAATGCTGTGCTCAGTTACACTTAAGACAGCACAGCTGATCGATGAGCTGGGAGAAGACTGACAAAAAGTCACAGAAATGCTGTGTGACCGCTCATGGGAGCACTGCGTAGGGTCCTGTGTCCCCACAGGGACCGGGGCAGGGTGCAGGGGCTGCCAGCCCACCCCGCTGGGTGTCTGAAGCACCCCAGGGTGCTCTCGGGCTGCTACTCAAACCCTGCAGTATTCACGTTATTCTAAGGCTAATGCAGAGGTTAACAAGTAGAGACTTGCTACAGCTGCCTGCGCAGGAATTTAAAAGAGAGAAGCCTCCTCCCCGGGCTGCGCTGGCACAACACCCGACGCGTGCCAGGCATGGGCAGAGCTCGGTGGGCAACCGTCGGCCTCTTGCCTGAACTGCTCGCGGGTCAGGGATCCGCTGTTTGAGCTGTCGCAGGCAGCCAGGTCCTTCTGCAGGTTGGAAACCAGCTGATTCTGGCCGTGGTACTGTTCTTCACCCACCTGGGAACAGGGAAGGAGGTTCACAGGTCAATAACTGCCCCATCTGTTCCTTGGACCACCTTCAAGAGGGAAGCAGAACTGCAAAAGTGCTCACTTCTAAAGCAACTTTTACCTGAGCAGCTTTTCGTGATTTACAAATAATTATGGAAGCAACACAGCAGTTTCGTATCAAACAACTTGCTGCAAAGCAGTGTTCTTGCTGCCACGTGCAGGAGCTCTGAGGGCAGGCGGTGAGAATGGCTCTGATGATGTGTCGGGGGGCTGGGGCAGAGGCTCACCCCAGCACATCTGGGACAGCTGTTGCACCCCCAGGTACAGAGGCACACCCGGGATCCCCCAGAATGGTGGCAGCCACCCTGCCTGCATGGTCACACTTGTTCCCAGCCACTTGTCCCTTTCCAAGCAAGACAGAAGAAGACCCGAGGGGGCTGCGTGTCTTTGTGTCCCAGGAAGCGGAAAGACGCGGCCGTGTAGCCAGAGCTCTCCAGCTCTGACGCGGCGCTGGGGAGCAGGGAGCAAGGCTGCCAGGGCCTGCACCGTGCTGCGGTTCAGAAACTATGTCCTGGTGTTCACGAACACACATGGGGACAGATCGTGAGCCAGCAGAGACCTACGGAGAGAAGCAGGCCTGTGTGGTGGTGCTGCAAACAGGAGCCTCTCGTTGGAGAGGGCAGACGTGATGAGGCCAAGGCGTTTGAAAGAAATAGGGCCCGCTCTGTGGGGAGCCTGTCGTGTCTCGCACATGCAGCGTTCCCTTCTCTAGCGTGGGTCAGCGTTTACTTTTACTCTCATGAGAAGGTGCAGGAGGAACGGGAGGTGAAGCTGCTTGGCAGAGGAACGCTTCCCTGCCTGCTGTCGGTCACGCTAGGGGTGTCTGGGCAGAGGCGTGGCACTGGCCTGCGGGTTGCCTACCTTCCCGGTGAGTACGTCGTAGAATGAGCTCAGGACGTGGTTTGAGCGACAGAGTCGCATGTTCTTGTAGAGGGTGTAAGACCATTCCATGGCAGCGGCATCTCCGTACTTCTTCTGGAGGTAGCCGAGAAAGAACTCGGGAAGACTGGAGCGCTTCCCTGTCTGCAGATAAATAACACGCGAGGAACTCCCATAAGCAGCAGAACTAAATCAAATCTGCCCGTTTGATTCCAGCTCTGCGCATAGACCTCTGTCTCTCGGGGATCGCACACGGTGCTAGTGCTGGCTGGAGTCTTCCCCAGTATTAGCTCATTCAAAATGTTTCTCCCAGGTTTGTGCTCTAGATGTGGGTAAGTGTATGATGAAGCTCTGCTGCTGCTGAGGTCATCGATAAAGTCTCTCTTCCCCTACCTACTTCTGTGAAATGACTTGGTGCCAGCGAGGCGCTCCCCCTCTGTCCGATTTAGCTGAGCTTGGCTCGTGGGTTGAGAAATGGAAGCAGTTACTGGAGGAAAGCGGAGCCAGGCAGTGATTGCAGCGACCCCATTTCCCCAGGACACCAAGCTGAAAGTAAAAGACAGCTGCCGTAGAAAACATATTAAGCCATTCTGGGCTGATCTTGGAGATGTTTCTGGGCTTCTAGCTCAAGAGAACAACTCTGTAAAGTGACTCTGCCTCTCTCAAGGTGGCTCTCGTGTGACGGAGGCACAGTAACAGGGCTTGCCCAGTATCTGGGGAGATGGCATCGCTTGTCCCTGACATGGAAAGAATTAACCAGCCACTTTTATTCTCTTTTTGAGTTGTATCGCCCCAGATGGGCAACCCATAATGTCTGCCTTGGCAGAGAACACACACCTCACCCCTTGGGCCTCCAGTTGTCGCTCCCAACCCACCCTTCTTTGCCCACAAAGAAGGGGAAATTCTTTGGGTTTTGTGTACCAAAACTTTATATTGATAAAAAAATTAAGGTAAAATTATTTTTAGCCCCTGGTTCTCATTTTTCGTGCAGTGCCACTTGTTCCTCTCTCGCATGGAGCTTCATAATGGATTGGCAAGGGTTAAAATCAACCCAGCAAGAAAACCCTGGCCTTGCTTTGGCTGCACAGATGTTGCCCAAGTTTCCACCACCTAAGAAGAGACGCTGCGTAGCCATGATGGCACGGCAGTCTGCAGAGCACCGTCACACCCCACGATAGCAGCAGCCGATCTAGCCGAGGTCTCGGGCGCGTGAGCGTGGCTGATTTAGCCACGGGAGGAACCACTGCAGCAGGTACCCTGCCGTGGGGAGGAGTCTTCACCCAAGCTCGGCTGCTCTTGCGGCAGCTGCTGGACCGCGGCAGCTTACAGCCCTCGCCATCGAAGCAACCAGAGCTGCTTTCTGGTTTCCTGAACTCTGGATTTGCCACGGTGGGCATCAGGGGCTTCACGGGGACTCAGCTGTCCCGGGAGCAGGAGCTGCAGAAGCCTCTTAGGCTGGGGATGGAGGTGCTCCAGTTATCCGCGTGACACTGTCCTAATTGGTGAGTCGGATCCCTGGGGAGCCCTGCCAGGCACGGGGTTACCGCCAGCTGGGGCCGTTTGCTCTGACAATGTTTTATGCAGCTCGATTTGTGTGAACCGCTAGGCAGGCTGTGGGTGAGACCCTGGCTTCCCAGACTGGCCTGTCACAGCAAATGCTGTTTGTGGAGAAGGAAAATGGGACAAACCTGCTGTTCTAGTGCAATTTTCTCCTTCCAGACATCCTTTAGGATGTTCACCACATCCTTCTTAGTCAGTTTTTTGTTCTTGACTTCACCGTCGTGCCTCAGGTACACAGGCACTGTGTCGCCTTTGCCCTAAGTGATGGAACAGAAACACAGATACGGGTAAGGCATTCGCCTCGCTGGCAGCGATGCAGCGCCAGAGCCGTGTTGGCAGCATCTAACTCGCCGTTAAAACGAGTCATTTTCGTGGGTCTCGATCCCAGTACTATCAAACACATCTGTCAGCACCTCTGCAGCCTGCTCCAGGGTGGACCTGCTCAAGCTGGGGCCCACGCTGGCCACATTGCCTGTTCCCCACTGTCACGCTACTTAGAACTTGGTTCATGAGTGGGTTTGGTTGATGTGTCCCTGTTGTGTCCGGGCAGCTGTGAGTATTCCTCATCACCAGTGTAATATGTTTGTAGTCAATAAGTTGTTTATTACAGCAGAGCGATGCTGAAGCCCTCTGTGTTGTGCTGGAAGCTCTGTGGTCAGCGTGGAGCTTGTGGCTGGAAGGTGTGGGACCTTCTCGAGGTGGCAGGGAGCTGACAGACCTTGTCCTTAGACAAAATGGGACTGGGTGAGGGGTTCTGCCCAGCAAAAATAGAAGAGGAAAGATCTTCCTTGGAAGCACCTTCCCAGAATGGCAGGGCAAACAGTTCGAACTTCTGGAAAGGCTGAGGAAGAGATGTTGAAGGACTAAAGAAATGCTCCTCTGTCCCTGAGAAAACCCTTGTTGTGCTTGGTAGGACGTGAAGAATCCTTGTAACGTTTCCTTGTCCCTGTATCGTTTCCTGATTCCCCAGGTGCTGGGGTGCAGTGCAATGGGACAGTGGGAGTTGAATTAACTTCCTGATGCCATGCAAAGGAGTCATTCCCTGCTCTGTAGTCTTGCTACTTACTCTTAGTCATTCTAGCACTTGTCTGAATTCATCTCATCGGCAGAGAACCTGGGAAAAAACGAATACTGCTCTGCTGGGTACTTCCCTGGTGCTGCAGCCAGTACCGGGGGTGAGAACGGGGCAGAAGGACAAGAGTTTTCAGCTGCAGGAGGCCATTAATTTCTCTCAGCCGTATAGTGCAGCATTAATAAGGGGCTCTAGCCCGCTGGTAATACCTGCATGTCTGATGGTTCATGTGGCATCACTGCAAGTCATTCAGCTGTGTCTTCAGTGTGCTCCCTCTCACTTCCAGCTCAGTTGCACCTGAGTTTCCCTAGCTTTAAAGTTTTTGGTGGTTACACTAGCAGGGAGGTGAACATTGAAGACGCCAGCCGTGAAAGCAATTCTCCCACCTTCCTAATGGATATTTATTACCAATTCATCTCAGTGGAAAGAAGCAGAGAAGAAAGCTTGCACGTACCCATCCAGGGAAGACATTTATCTCTTTTAGCACTCCTGTTCCTATTTCTTCCAGAAGCACATCCACCAGCTGATCGCTGGTCTTCCCCTCGGCCAGACAGCCCCACCGGGCAGCTCCACCAGGAATCACCTCTGCAACAGCAAAAAGACGCTGAGCTGCTAGAATAGAACGTTGCCCACGCGTACTCATTTTGCGTGAATCCCACGAGGAGCCTTACGATAGATACAGATCTCTAGACATCCAGTTAGTCTCCTAAGATGTCGAAGGCAAAATGGAATACTCTGCAAGCTCCTCCCAGCCCACCGCCTAAAAACCTAGGAGAAATGGGGTGTTGCAGGTAAGAAATGCCCCGTAGCAAAGTGTTTAAGGATGAGCTGTCTTAAGCAAATCACTACAAACACGTTTGGCACCTGAACACTTTGCCCAGTTTGGCCGGGGCGTGCGGTTGCGCTGCGCTTGCTGGAGTTTGGCGCGGAAGTTGTCTCGCTCTTCTGCGGTCTCTCTGTGGATTTCCTGCAGTGTTTCATATTCCTTATGGAGCTGATCAAAATCCCTCTGCAGGGTCTTCATCTAAAGGATACCGAAAAGAGTAACGGAAATTATCTGTTGTCAGACGGCTCCGGTGAGCATCAGTGTACTCCAAAGACTTATGGAGAGTTGTCCCTGGCTAATTGCTTCTAGATTGGAAGAAAAATAAATCATTTGTTAAATGTTATTGTTAGCATTTACAAAAAAAATCTGGCAAAACGTGTCAATGGCTTTTATACCTGTTTTTGTGTTTCAAAATAGATCTTAATCCACTCAGAGAGAGCAGGAGAAACATAGGGTTTTCTTCTAGAAATTTTTACACGCATGCCCTTGAGCTCCACTATACTTTGTTTATAAAGTGTTTCTTTTTCATATGATTTATCTTTGCTCTCCTACTACATCATGATCACCTAATCACAGCTCTAGTCTGGGTTTTGAGGGCTGTGTGGGTATTTATTATGGCACGATGTGGGGACATGAGCAGTGGATCGAGCTGTGCTGACGGTCAGAGCTGGAACGGAGCTGCCAGTGGCCCAAACGTATCTCAAAGAGCCCAGCACGGCTTTTCCGAAGCACAAAGACAGGTAATACATTTTATTTTGCCCTCCTGGAGGTTCTCATCCATCCCTTCTCACAGCTGTGCCCTAACTTTGTGGTGGGATCCAACATGTTCTCTTTCCTCATCCTCCTTCTAGAGGTCAGGTCACTGCCACTCTGCCACTGCAGGCTGGAAGCAGACCCTGTCCCTTTGCTGTCCCGCGCGTGACATGGCATCGCTCCTCTGCATCTCCGGTGCAGGCTAAGCAGTCAAACATTTATTCCGAAAAGGCAGCAGACAGATACGACGTGAGGAACCTAGTCCAGTTCTTTCACAGCTGGAAAATGCAGTGGTGAGCCCCACCGTTGGGTTGATGACCTTGGAGTTCCGGTAGGCCAAAGAAGCTGTTTAATGTTACTGGAAAAGGCAACAATCCAGCTAGGCAGAGAAGCGTTAGTAGGCCAGCAGTATCTTTTAGCTGTGGTTTGGACAAAACCGGGCAACGTATGTGAGGTGAACCTGGGTCATTTATTTATACGTATGATGACTTCAGAGAGTAGCTCCCGAGCTGCAATCTGTGGGCTAGCATTACTTTTGTGGTGTTAACTCCGTTAAACCTGATGTTAGGGGGTTGTGATGGTATACTAATTTTGAGCGCTCAGGCAGTCCGTGGTTCCAGTCGAATGGGAGCTTTGGGGGTTAGAAGACAGCAGCTTCTCATGTGTTTCATGTACAAAGAACAAAGAAATGCCCTAACGTGAGCTCTAGGTTTACTGAGTCCCTGTCCCAACCGGGTACTGAAGCATCGCGTTACGTTTGTATTTATGTGGTATAGCTTGAAAACGAGGAGCTTATGCTCACCTCCTGAAGTAAATCAGAGTATTTTTTCTCCAGTGATTCAAAATCTCTCCTGGGCACAACATCTCCGTAGTCCGCTATCATTGCGTTCAGCTTCACCTGGGCTTTGGTGAGGTCCTGCCGAGCTATCTTTAATGCCAAAGTTAACTTCACCGCATCTTCACCCTTGACGTCTTTAAGCAACAGCCACTGATGAAAGCTCATGACAGTAAAACTGCAGTCGTAGCTTTCTAAATTTAAATTCTAAATTTTCTAATTTAAGCTTTTAGACCACATAACCCCAGAAAGCGTCAGCAAGAGCTGAATGGGTGTAGGCTGTATTGTTATTATTAATTAGCTGGGAGTATATTGCAGTGTTCACATTCCCACCCGCTGTCCTGCCCCTCTCCCATGCACACGTACGTGTTCAAAGGCTCGGGCTTCGTTTTGATTAATGGAAAGGATCCCAGGCGGAGAGCCTCAGGCAGGTGCAGTGGCTCAAGCAGCAGTAGCATGATGGGTGCCTGTGACCCAACTATGGATCAACGGAGATCATGCACTCAAAGGGTCCCTACCACCATGAGTAACCTCAGTGCCTGGTATTTTTGAGCCCTGAATTTCAGCGGTTTTGTCCATCCTTGTGGACAGGCACCAAGCCAGCAGCTGTGGCTGGGTAACACGTGCTGACAGTTGGCGCTGGAGTCAAAAACCATAAGGAACCTCTGCGCTGGGCAGCTCCTGCCTTCCATTTACTTGTTATGCTAAGCAAGAGCATACAAGAACACAGGCAAGGACCTACTGCATCAGCTCAGACTATCGGGTACATCCCTGCCTATTCCCTTTCCTACCCATTTATGGACTTTTTGGCCATGAATTTGTCTAACTTTTTTTTTTTTAAGAATTAAAGCATATCTGAAGACATTTCAGAGATACTCTAAATTTTTACTGCGATGCTGTGCCCACGGCCGTGCACTTGCGTCTCTGTGCAGGACAGGTTCTTACAGAGACCTGCTCTCTCTACCTTGGACTTGGTGGCGTGTCCTGTCCAGCCGTTCGTTGTACATGTCGTTCAGTTTTGCTAGAAGCATTTTGCGGGCACCGTACTCATTGAGATAGCGAGCATACTCCTCAGCTACGCTCGTCCGCAGACGCTCCACCTGCAGGAAACAGAGGCTTTGAATTGATCGGGAGCAGAGCGTGAGTGGGAACTCTTGGACTGATTTAGAGCAGAAACTAAGGAGCAGAGAGTGGGATAATGGGAAAAACTGGAGCAGGAGAGCAGGCAAGTGATAACACTATAGAAAAGGATGGGCTGGATAGAAATATGATGGGTTCAAACTTGGAAGTAGTGTGCAAAAAGGTGTTCCACCTGAGTGTTTAGCCTTCTAGAGAGTGAGTTATACGTGTTTCATGATCTGAGTTACACCGTTTCTCTGTTGTAAGCCCGTATCTAGAAACCTTCCAGCAACATATTCCATCCCTGTTGCTGGTCACACAGCAGAAAAAAGCTGCTACCCTTCCCAACTTACTCCACTGGAACTGGTGACAGAAATGTATCTTGGGTGGCAACAAGGGATTGTATTTGTGCTGTATTTTTAATTTTTTGTTGTAATTTTTAATTTTAATTGCATTTTAAATTAGTGGCAAAGTACAACTATCAGAAATCTGGAAGCCTAAGAACTGGGATTATGTGTAACACCGTAGCTTATTCCCACGATGTGCTTTTCACTCCGTGATCACACCCTGCCACTGCCAACGCCTGCCTGGTCCGCTGGATAGGGAGTGAATCAAAACGTTCCTTTCCTTGTGGCTCAGAAGACAGCTAGCACCTCAAGGACGATTCTGATGAGAATTCTGAATTCTGATAGTCTCATAAAAATACAAGCCCTCTGTAGCCATGCTGGTTTGCCTGTCTCCCTACGCCGTCATAGCCACAACCACGCTGCCACCAGCCAACAGCTCAGCAGCTTGGATGGATCTTTCCAAGGAATTTTTGAATATTTAACCGTGTCACAGCTAGAATATTTGAAGGCTGTCTCAAAAAATGGAATTCTGGTTTGAGCAGAATCATTTTTCCCAACCTCCCTCACGCAAATTGCAAAACTTAAATAGCCCAAACTAGAATTTGGATTCTGGGCCCTACTCTTAGGTAAGGCAAGTACAACTGCATAAATTCTCGGTTGCTCCTTCCAGAGAAGGTTCTCTATGGCTCTGTGAAGCACTGAGACCTGTGAACACCAACAAGTGGAACTGGCTAGTTCTAGGACTGCAAATGGAAGAAATATTTATAAGCATTTTGATCTACCTAGTGAAACCTAAGCTTCTAAGGTTCACCAAGTGCTAGCTAGATGAATAAGGAGCCTACACTGTCTGTCCTGAAGCTTGTTCTTCTTCACCTTTACCACTTAAACTAGTGGATGAAAACAAGTTCAGGTTCATCCTGTTATCACACCTCTGACCACAGCAGAATTGCTGTGTGACAAGGACAATTTGTTTCTTCCTCCTGCTCATTTTTCACCAGGAGGATGGTACAACCCTGGAACAGGCTGCCCAGGCAGGTGGAGGATCACTATCCTGGGTGGATCTCAACACTCAAGCCAGACAAGGTCACGGCTGATCTGCTGTCACGGAGGCGATAGTTCCGCTTCATGCGGGAGGTTGGGCTGGAGACTCTAGATGTTCCTTCCAACCAACACTTCTTTGATACTTCCTGAATTAGCTACAGTAGCTGTGAGGGCCCCAAGACCCGTAACTGTCCCGCTCAGCCTCAGCCGGACCCTCCACCCACACACGTCTGCCCACAGCCAAGCAGCTCTGCTTAAGCTCAGGCCAAGGCTTTTGGTCTTTGTTGAGCTATGTTGTAGGTGTATCTGCCTCCAGTCCGGTCTCTGTGCCCTCACAGGACCTTGGACTGATGTCGTAGGTAGCTCTTCTCCTGGATGGACCCCTTTGGATGTCTGTTGCAGTTTTGTCTCCAGTCCTGACTCTGGCCCTAAGCTCCTGGCTCATCCTTCCTCATGCAGCAGCCCTGCTCCTGTTGCTCTCCAACAGGAGTATCATTTCAGCCTGAGCGGCTGAAACTGCTCAAGAACTGTGTAAAGTGGTAATTTAAATTGGAAGGACCTAACTCAGCTTGCCTATAGATAGCAACGCGACTCCACCGGCGGCAAGATGAACGATACAGATTTAAAGATGCTAAGGGTACAATGTTGTAAAAGAGCGCACTTAATTTTACGTAAGAACTTAAAACATTAGTACCAGAAAGAGATCTATTTCCTCCCCTGCCTTCAAGTGTGACTGTGCAAGAGCCAGATAGGACAAGAGATACAAGTGAAGACTTCTGACAGCGGTGGCACAGCCTGTCCCAAGGGAACAGGATATTTTCTGGAGCTGGCCAAGATCCAGCATCACCACCGTGCTGGACATTTAGTGTCTGCTCCAGAACTTTTACTGGCACTGAAGGATGAGCCGCTGGGAGGTAGGAGATCAGAGGAGCAAAATGCAGCCCACTGAAGTTGGGAAACGGTTGACTCATCATTGTCTAATTTACCTGAACCTGAAGAGAACTCTTTTCTTCCTTCATGTTGTCAATGAACTTTAACAAATGTTGTTTCTCTTGCTTTAACATATTTATTTCATCTCTCTCCTTTTCCTGCAGAGCCAGTATCTTCTGGGTGCACTCCTCGGACATGGTTGTGATCATAGCCTTCAGGGGCTCCAGGGCACGAATTGTCTTCTTCTGATGAGCTAAAGAAAGCAGAGGTGAGTTCTCACAATGAGCAACAAAGCCTGAATTTTTTACTCAGCTGGGGTGTTGGATATTCAACCCTGAAACAGCGCCGGTGGGAAGTGGGACCGAACATGGCGCTTTCACTGCTTGGCCTGGCGAGTGCCTACGGACATGGAGTAGTGTCGTTTGGGATTGCATCCTGTTGTTTATCCAGCTGTGCGTATGAACTTCGTAAGGATTTCTGATTTCAGCTCGTGCCATTTATCCTGGTTTGGAAAACAAAGGATGAACAGTATTTTGTTTTGTTTTCTTGAGTATTTAAGGTTTTGATAGGACATGAGCACCGACAGCTTTATCACGTTTCGTTAGGCGGGAAGCTGTCACCATTTAAGCACAGGCAGCACGTGGGGCTAAAGATAACTGCTAATTAGTGATCTACCCTCTTTTGTGAAGGCACGTTCTTCATGAACTTTGATCTGCTTTCTGCTCCCCAAACGCATGGTTTCCTGCAACCTTTTACATGCAAAAGTGTTGTCTACCCACCCTCCCCTCTTTTCAGGTATGCCTTGACCTCTCTTCTTTTGCCTTTCTCTCCAGTACGTCTAGTAAAGAACTCGCGTGCGCCTCTTGGCTTTCTCTGCCGTAACGCGTGCTTTTCCCTCTCAGCTGCTTCCCCTCTACCTTGAATTAGATGCTTACCCGAGGAATCTCGTGTGACAGTAATTGACTTGGGTCCCACATCCCAGTTACAATTACGTGGCAGAATTTCATCTGATGCCATCTCCATGGTGCACAGGCTCGGTTTTATGACTGGATGGAATTTCACCAGGAGAATAAAACGATCAAAGACAGGACATGGTGTGATTCAAATGAGGCTGTGAGCAAGCCTTGTTTCGCTTGTGAATAACTGCATTATTCGCCAAAGCTGTTCACTCCCTCTCCTGAACAGAAGGCTAGAAATGCTGGTGGATGCTGAATAATCTGACTTGGAGGGTATTTTCCTCCTCAATAAAACCTGGTATTTATGTTGAAATACTATGCAACAGATTTTGCATTGTAAAAGTTAAAACCCCTGCATAAATCTAAGAACAGGAACTACTTTTCTTGTTATACTTGGGTGTGAATTTCCTTCCCACGCTATAACTGCACCAAAGGTTTTGCAAAACTCTTTCACTGTGACACTTGTGTCGGGACACGAGATGGCAAAAATTAGAGCGTTACCATGGGGATTCTGCTGCCGTGCTGTTTGGTTGCTGAGCGTGAGCTAAGAACTCCGCGTTAAAACTTCAGCAAACTTGTGGCAAGGTGTAGTTTGAGTCTTTCACACCTGACTCCTGACCACAAGCAAACCCCTTTAAGTGCAATAGTATTTTTAATTGTAGCTGCCTAGTATGTCAGAAGTTAAGAGTACAACAGCTCACTGGCTGCCAAAGTGATTATTTCGTAGCGTGGATGCTGGCCAGTGCCATCTGAGAACATCAGCACGCTCGTGACCTCTCCCAACTCTCCCCAGGCCAGGAAAGGACAGACGTGCTCCCACTTAGAAAGAATTCAGGCTGCGGAGCAGCTCATTGCGCGCAGAATTGCTGGATGGACCCAGAAGTCTTAGCACCGCAAAGGAGCGAATGTGAAGCCTCTGTGGACGTCGCGACCTGAGTAGTATTTTAATCACAAAATGGATTTGGCTGTGATAACATCACTGTGAAGCAAAGAGCTACCCTGGCACTCAGCTTTGTCTTAAAAGAGCTCCCAGCAACACAACCTTTATCTCGGCCCAAGGGAACAGCCGTAGGGATTGATGGCTCTACCCTCCACAGTGATATTTGCCAAATTCCGCTTACTACCTTCACGTTCACGTGGATTTACGCCAGAAACAGTGACGTAAAGCCTCAGTGCTGGCTCAGCACAACCGTGACACCCAAAGGAGCTGTAGCTGTATGTCCAGTTCTGGCAGAAGACGGAGAGTTGCAAGCAGCGCTGCACGTCCCCGTTCCCATCAGACGCAGCCGCCTTCTCTGTCTCCGTGCTCAGCTACGCGTGTGCCAGCTACTTCAAACGTCCCGCCGCCAAAATGATGCAGCTAAATACGCGGCGTAAGCAGTACGGTTTTAGGACAACATTTAATAACACAATTTTTGGCTTTTTTTTTTTTTCAAACTAGGTTATTCTGACTGAACTGGGAACATGTTGCAATGCTAGCAGATTTAAGGGGAGAACCCGCCCCGGCAGTGGGTGCCGTGGTGAGCTCCATAATCGATGTACAGGCGGAGATAGTACAGAAACTCTGACTAGGGCAGGAAAAACAGAGCAAGACAAAGCTGCTAAATCAGACTACGAAGATAATACCAGTTGGCTGAGAAATACAATACTGTGGTGCAAAGGAGGTTGAGTTTCAGGTTCAAAAGGAGCCGAAATGCTACAGAGAGAGTATGTATGTTTGGTGGAGCGCTGAGACATCTCTCTAAGCAAACTGTCCCATCTATCAGCTCCAAAGCTGCACCTTAACACTCCAAGCGCTGTGGTGAGGGACTATAAACAGAATATAATAATTCTGATGTTAAGAGCCATCAGAATGACCAGCTCTCTCAGATTTTAAAGAAGTTATTTTTGTTAAGCACAGTCAGACACAATTGAAGAATAAAGATAGGTACTTAGGACTGCAATTTTACAAATCAGTGAATTTCCTTCCTTTTCTCTTTCTTTTCTACCCTTTCTGCTCTCGGACGCTTGCTTTTGTCTCTTCCCTAGCACAGACGCTTTCTTGAGCAATTCAACTCACTAAACCAACAGGAAACTTTGCAGCTCTCGGTCTTTTGTTTTTCCTGCTGGGTGAGTTGACTCAGCTCATAGAGGTGTCCAGCGAGTGGCAGAGCGGGTGCAGCGGGAGGGCACCATGGGGACGTGGGCCCGTGGTGTTTCCGTGGCTATGAGCTGGTGGATGAGGTCGCTGCTTCCTCGGCCAGGCAGGGAAGCTGATGTCTCTGCTCGGCAGGGAGGAGGAGGCCTGGAAATCGCTTACTGGTAACCCCACCCCATAGCCTTAGCTAACAGGGGAGGGATGTCACACAGGCCTCGTTAGCAAGGTAAAGTCCATAATTAGGAAAATGAGTTTGACCTCAATATACAGAAAGGTGGGAGGATCCCAATCCCAACTTAAAAAACAAAGTTGTGTTTGTTTTATTCTTAGAGCTTCGAGTATACTTGCTACCATGGCACATTTGTTCACTGGCATTCAGTTGATTTCTAAAAATAAAGCTATCATAAAAGATATGTTTTGCTGGGTATCCAGGGACTTTGGAGGAAAAAAAGGAAATACCACATCTAAGCAATACAGAGGAAACAGTAAATAAATGCTTAAAAAAAAAATAGTCTCAGAAAGCAGTACAGTATCAGCTTCAGCGTGGACACCAGTATTCTCTCTGGGAGCTGAAGCACAGAAATGTCTGCTAAAGAGTTCTGGAAAGAAACTGAGTTTTTTTTAAAAAATGTTTTTATACAGTGATTAAAATTGACTTATTTACCTGGTTGAAGGATACTGTACAAAGAAAGATTTTTGTCCTTACTGAGGGACTATGATTAGGTAGTCCAGGTAACCGGTACTGGGATAAAGGATATATATCCTTCAAGAGACTGTCCCAGTAGAAGACTGTTGACATCTGATAGCTGCTCGGTGCCCAGTGTGACATGAGCTCCTGGTTACAGCCTATTTCTAGCCCTCTGTGATTGTTTACAAAGTACTGGTATCGCTGTGGCATCTGAGTGCCAGGCGGTTAAAGCACACCAAGAATGGACAGGGAACAGCTACTTCAGCGCTCTGCCCTGCTGCGTTTCAGGAGCAATCCCGGCTTCGAGTTACCACATCAGGCACATCCAAATATATTAGTACAATACACTCCACTATAAATGTGATTGTCCCTGAAAAAACCTTGAGACACTGCTGTTGCCTGAACTGTGGATGTGATGAAGATTTAAAAAAATAATCTAAAATATTATAGGGAAAAAAAAATCCTCCAACAACTTCAGAGCTTACCCAAAGTAACTTCGTATTCATTCTTTATAGCTGACAGCAAGGGCTTGTAGGTCTTGAAGTTGTCTATGAAGAATTCAAAGATCTCTCTGTAGGGCTGAGAGAAGAAAGAAGCTTGAGAAAACATTCAGTGGCCCATTTTTGCAGAACTCAGAAGTAGCTGGTTTGTCCAACACTCCCATGGTGTACCTGGGCCATGGGAAGGCTTCACTAGCAATAAGGAATGTTCTCACTGAGTGTATCTCACTATTACATAGAATAAAACACATCGTGTAAGACAGTAAAAAATAATTTCAAAGAAAAACCACGTTTATGAAACCTCTGTTTTCTCTTGCTATTAGTCACTCATCGTTTCCTTCCATTCTCTTCCATCTACCACCTTCTTTCCCCATCACTACAGGATTCCTTTGGGAATGACAATTTGAATTAATTAGTGCAGAGTAAATCAAATCCACACTTCCCATGGTCTGCATAAATGCTCTAATTGCATTAGGATATTACAAAAACAGGAGTAGCTGCTCCTACTCCATCTGTGCTTTAAATTAAAGTGGTGGTTCTCGATGTGGCCATGAGGTGTGTCCTCAAGCACTCACAACAAATCCCCCAGGATCAGACCCATTAGAAACTACGAATTTTGGGGATCCTGATTAGGCTCAGACAAGAGCTCGATGACAAAGCCCCTTCCTGTCACATGCAGAAACCTAACTTCAGAAATGAGAGGTTTTTGCAGTGAAAATTTGGGAACCTACACACTTGCTGTTTTACGGGTTTAGGCAGGAATCTTCAGGAGTTTAGTGTGTAAATTCTGTTTCACACCCACATTAGATCACCATGTCTTTTTGAAGGCTTGGGCTTTGATTTAAAGATGGCAACAGTTATAGAAGATGTGGAGAACACAAGATATGAACAACCCAACAACTCGCAAACAACAGCAACCCAACGTATAAATAAACTGTTTCCCTGCAAGTTCTCTGATGTGAGCTGCAACCCCACTTATCCAATACTACCCGTAGGTGCCAACTCTTCTGCTCTACTTTTTCCTTTGGATGGCCAATTTAAGTCATCCATCTCAGCATGTAGTTTCAAGTTAAGAGAACCTTGTGTCAGACCTGTAACTTCAGCTCCTGAGAGTTCTTTTTAGTCAGATCAAGAGACTGCAGCTCTTTCCTTAGGTAGGACTCCAGTCGCTCCAAGTATCGTGGCTTTGGAATGGTGCGAAGGACCTGTTTATTGCTGCAGAGACACAGGAAAAGAATGGACGCATGAACTTATGTGTGTCATACATGTAAGAATGAACTCATAATAAATTGGCTCAAGGATCTTGGTTTTCTTCCTACTGCCCATTGCTTCACA